CTTAAATTGCATGTTCCTTCTTTTCTCTCTATCTGAGCTGTATGAACAAGCACATTTGCATGTATTTGTACACACTCACACACATAAAAGAACATCCTCCTACCCTTTACAGACCTTTGAATTAGTCATGTTCTGACTGACTGCTTGAGAGTGAGTGTGATGGCCACGTTTGTATTTTTAGTAACTAGTGAAGGATAGTCCACATTTGGGTTTTGGCCTTATCAGTTTTGACATTTTGTGTTTTTACTCATTTGGGTCATTTTTACGCCTGATTGTTGGGACAACGCTTATAAAATCTACTTCTTGTTCATACACCACAATACCAACTTTATCAGATTGAAATATCAATCTATGCAAAATAAAGGGACTGCTACTCTACAAATTGTTTTAATGTCAGTAGATAGCACAATGCTTCAAAACTGGCAGGATGATCAACTTAAGTCAAATACAACCCATCTACACATTTCAGAGTTTATCTCAACAGGAGACAGACGATTAACTGAGTGCCAAACTGAATAAGAGCCAGCGTGCAGCTGGAGAAAAAGCAGTGAAAGACTCACAGCTGTGCTCCTGTCATTAGCATTTCTGCAAACCAGTAATTTAATTGCAAGGGCTGTTTGAACTTTTTGCTTTGTTGTTGAAATCACTGATTGTTGCCACTTGCAATTTGGCAATCAAATATAGACAGCAAGAAAACAGACTGAGCGTGTTTGTGTCTATTTGTGTTTCAGAGTGCCCTTCACAGTTCCCCATGGGGCCTGATGCAGGCACTGGAACAGCAGGTGGGAGAGCTGAAGATCGACGCTGATGACGGCTGCTATGATGGAGCTCAAGGCGACACGGGCGACAGTCGGCCGAGTTCTGGTGCTTCCACAGCTTTAAACCATTTCTTTGATCACACCTCTGACATGCTTGTAGTTAAGAGTTTCATAAATGTGCTATTTGTGATTTACTTACTTTCGCTAAAGCCAGTTAACAGTTGTTTTGTACAATAGCTCATGTTTAGTCTTTGCATTATTAAATATGCTTGTTATTTATTTCTGCTCTCATTGTTCTATCATGCTCCAGTTGCTTTTAATTTTGTTTTCTGGCCTATTTGTGAAATGCGGTGAGACACAGCCTGCATCAAGCAGCATATATTTAGAGAACTGGAATGATCAGTGAGCTATGAATGAGATAGTCATCTCCTCTCTCTAACTGTAATTCCTAGGTTTCTATGAGTCAAGTGGGGGTCAGTCGCCGAAAGGAAGATCTTGTTCCACTGAGGCCACAGAGACTGTCTCCTCCTGGACTTACACCAACGACAGGCCAAAGTCTGTGGGTAAGAAAAAGTAGATCTGGAAACACTGAGGTACACTTAAACTTGCACGCACATGCATCCTCAGAAATAGCGACATAAAAAGTTCTATGTGTAACTTAAGCAGAACAAATGTCCGCGTATAATTTTAGTATTATAAACTATCTGTTTGAATCAGAGCATGTTCTCTTTAAAGTAATTCATTTTGAAACACAGAGTTTGGATTTATTCTCACTGCTAACGTATCGGTTGTTCAAACCCCGAAAAACAGGCAATGCGGTGGAGATCATGTGGATAAACAAGCTGCAACAACCACAGCAAAGAGAGATACAGTTTTATAAGCTTTAGTATTCCTTTCAATTAAAATATATGTTTAAAATTGGCATTTATGTATACATTAGGAGTGAAATTAAGCATTAAAACCAAGAGTTTGCATTCTGGAGTGAAGTTTGGGGTTTATGCTATACACACTATGTTACCTATTGACTTACAAATGAAACCTTTCTGACAGTTCAGCTTCTCTTCTTTTCTTTGGTGAGCTTTCATTGTATGTGCCCTATGAAATACTTTTAGGTGTGCCAATACTGAAAATAACATACTCAGTAACAAATTATGCCTCTGTCATGTCCATCATGCATTATTGCTTATGTCTAGTTTATAGATTCATTATTTTGTTTGCATTATTATAATTCTGCGCCTTGGCCTACAATTGTATTGTTTTCTGTTATTAGGAGATCCCCTCATGCTGAATGGAGAACTGGATGTGCCAGTCCTACGCACCACCCTACCTCGCTCTTTCTCTGCTCCTTACCCACCTCTGGAGGGCATCGCTGAGGAGGTTACAGCAGTGGACTCTTGGCATTGGGACCCTACTGGAGCCAACTACGCCTGGGAGCAGCAGCCTGCAGAGGATCACGTCACAGAGGAGGACTACCAGCAAGCCTTAAAGGTAGAGGGTTACATCCTAAGTCTCATCCAACGTCATACCCTTGCACCACGGCCATGTCAGCCTCGCACCACCCTGAGCCCCGACCCCCCATACTGCATTGCCTCCGGACACAGCTCCCTACACAGGAGAACTCCTTCTCTGACCACAGAACAACGCCTTCCAGACCCCCATCTCCAGTCCCACGTTGACCTTTCAACAAACCCTAAGAGCCATGGCTGGGGTTGTGACCTGCTGGAGGGGGAAGCCTGTGGAGGAGAGGCCCCATCTTTGGAGGAGGACTGTTATCTGGCTCTGCCCTACCCCCAGCCCAGGCCACACTCCTTGGCTGAGAGGCTACCGTCACCTCTGCCCTCCCTGGACCCCAACTGTGGTGTTGGGACTCTTGACCTTTGTTGTGAACCCACATCCCCCCAGCATTACTTACACCCACAACCCCCTATTCATCAAAAACACAATTTAGTAAGTGCTCAGTATATCCCCGGACAAGCCTGCCATGCCCCTGTACGCTCCCCCAGACACTACAACCCAGACCAGCCAAAGTCCAACCGAGCTGTCGCCTCTCCTGACCACCCAAACTCCAAGTCCAGAACGTCTAAGAAGATCCACAATGAGCGACAGAGAGCCAAGAAATCAAGCAGTAAAACCAGTCGATCCCAGTCTGAAAACAGCCTCCTGGGCCAGAGAGTGCTGCCTGAGCGCAGGTACAGCACCACTGAGAGACACCCAGGCAGAGGGGATCTTGCTCACAACCAAGGCCCAGTCACTGGACCGCAGGTGTGCAACAACAGCCACAACGGGAGCCGACGTTGGTGCTCCAGCCTGGAGCTCAGCCAGGATGAAGGGGAGTCCCTAGCAGATCCGGCACATAGACGACCACCTCGTAAAGCTCGCCATGGTCATTCTTCTCCCCATTCTCAACCACAGAACTACCACCACCAGCAGCACAACCAGCGCTGGGACCCAGACTTTCAGGAGAGAGCACCTCTCTGTCAGGGAGAGGAGGGCTACACTGGCGCAGCCCCTGCTGAGTCCGAGTCCAGCATGAGTGAGGTGTATTCCCCAGCCTCCAGCTCACTGTCCAGTGACTCAGATGAGAGTGGGGGGCTCGTGTGGCCGCAGCAGCTGCCACCACGCCTTGCTTCTACCTCCTCCTCATCCTCACCGTCACCACAGGCCACTGCCAACACCCCTTCTCAATCAAAAGCCTTTGTCAAGATAAAAGCATCCCATGCTCTCAAAAAGAAGATCCTCAGATTTCGGTCCGGGTCCCTCAAAGTCATGACTACTGTATGAGGAAAGGGTTAAACCTGTTTTAAACCCATAACCTTCACTACTATGTTGAAAAGCCATTGTAAGAGCTCCACTGTTGCATTTTGTGTTGTCATGATAACTACCCAATCCAGTCTACCTACCTCTAATTGCAGACTGTTTGTAGTGTGAGTCATTTACATTAATGGTCATGATTAAAGATCTGCTAGAGATCATCTGTCTGTAGTATTTGTTTGAATTTATCTTGTAGCTGACATCCATCAGACACAAGGCTAATGACCATTATCCTGCTCTTATTGATGATAATTGATGTGATGGAATAACTTTCCATCACATCAATTATCATCAACAACTTTGTTGACTTGGACCACAAGGTAGCTAAGTGACTGAATATGCTGCCAGTTTTTCTTGATGCCTGTTGGCCTTAACCACCAACAGACCATAATCATAGATTTATGGTTAATTTATTCCTACATTTTGAGAAGGAAGCCTACACAACTAATAGGTACATGGTCAAAACCTTCAAGTCTTGCACCACATAAATTAGATAAAAGTGTTTTATGGCACTGACTTGTGTGTAAATTTGCAATATTTGACAGGTCCAAAATTTCCCAATAATTTCCTAGGAAGTTTGCGGGAAAGAACTATGCAATTTGGTACTAATCAGAGGGAACAGCTACATTTAAACCCAAATAAATATTCATTGAATATTCATTTATTGTTAGAAACTTTATGCTCAAAACTTCACATTTTGCATGGCACTGACTGTAGTAGCCTTGCAAGGTTACGCTACCAGTGATTTGAACATTGTCTCTATTTTCAACAAACAAATTAGTATTAAATCACAGTTCTTTCCAGGGACCTTCTTGGAAATGATTTAGAAATGATTAGGAAATTATTCAGAAACCATAAAATAAAAGCACAAGAACTAAAAGACCCTATCAAAACTAAAATGTGTAAAGTTTGTGGTAAGACTTGAAGCTTTAGAACAAGAATTGGTCCTGTACTTAGCCAGCATCCTATAGAAAAACCTTTCATTTGTGCAGGAGTGAACAAATGTGTAATAGTACATATCTATGTTTACAGTTGTTTGTCCTACAGTCTTAAAATTCATGGGCTGGTTGTGACTCTCTAAGCAGGGAATGCCCACTTATCTTTATCGTTCACTACACTCAGCTCTGCCTCTTTGTAAACTTTGGATTCACATTGAAGTGAACTACCCATTACATCTCTTCATCTGCCAGCTGCTTCAGGGGACAGTGAGCATATAACAGATGTCTTTGAGTCAGAAATGGGTTTAGTAGAGGCCATAGTAAGGGGCCTGTGTACATGCATGCATGCACATACAGAATGTCAAAGTGCACGGATTCAATAAAACACAGACGTCTTGTAAATGTATATGTTTATGTATATACCATGATGTGGCCTTGTTTGGAATGAATGTAGTTTGTAAATAAAGGCAATTTTGCTCTAAATTTTGGTACATTTACACATTTTTATTGTTTTGTTTATTCTTAAATGCATGGCCCTGGTACAACAAGATCATTAAAACATTGTGTATTAGAAATTTTTTATGAATTTACATTTCATAAACTTCTGTAGAAGTGCATTTGTCTGAATTGCATTTATTTGACAAACCTACAAACATCACTTAAGCTGATTACCTGTTCAATGTCTTCTCAAATCGTACCAATTGTCTTTAGGGTCTGTCACAATATAACAATCAGCCAAGAACTCACCATGCACTTTGGCCATTGAGCATGAGATATTTAGAATGTAGCTCCCTCTTGTGGTCTATGTAGCCTATATTCCTGTTACACAAGAGGATGTGACTGTGCATGGTAAATGGTAAAGTTACTGTACCATGAGGTAATCATATTGGTGTGTATGTGTGTTACGAGAATTAATAATTAATTGTAGATAGAATAAAATAATGTTAATGATCAGTATGCTTAGTATCTCACTGCAACAAACTTGAATTACAACACACAAAGAGTACATAGATAAAACCATTTATATATTCCTCTTAATGAGGACCAGAAATACATAGAAACGCAGTCTCAGATTGCCCTTTTGTAAGAACAAAAAACGGAAGTGTTAAGCGTTTTGTTGCCTGAGACGCAAATGTTCACAGGAAATACTGCCGATTGACCAATAGTTCCTGATCCTGACCCAGTCCTGACATGCAACTAGGGCTGCACCTAACAATTATTTTAATGTATTAACCTAACATTGTTTTGGACCTAACATGTATTGACATGTATATGACCAAAACAATTGTGAAAATTGTCGATCATAGTTCCTTAAAGGCCAAGGCAACGTCCTCAAATATCTTCTTTTTTCCACCACCCAAATATATTCAGTTTACTGTCATAGAAGAGTAAAGAAACCAGAAAATATTCACATTTGAGAAGCTGAAATCTTTTAAAAAGAACATCATTCAGTGACACAGTGTATCAAAGTCAATATGCCCTCAGATTTTAGTCATCTCCTTTCCATTGCTTGTGCTCTTGGTTTCGGTATTAGTGATGCTCACTCTGGTCGTAGGATCCTCGCTGATGAAGTGGAGCATGTTGCGCAGGGAGCGGTTCATGCTGTCTTTGAAGCCCCTGCCCAGACACACATAGAGCAGTGGGTTGAGGCAACTGTTGAAATACGCCAGGCAGAGTGTCAGTACGTGTGCCTGGTAAACTGCAGGGCTGTGAGCGGAATTTCGAGGGGTCACCAATATGAGGAAGTCAACAATGTGTAGCGGGAGCCAGCACAGGAAGAAGCTCAGCACCACTGCTAGGATGACCCTCACTGTTCTCTTGGAGCGGGTCCGTCCACGGGTCAGTCCTCTCTCGGCCCTCATGTACACCACCAAGTGACAGACTACAATCACCAGGAATGGGAGGAAGAATCCCACGAAGAAGCGAAAGCAGGTGACGAGCCAGGCAGAGACTACAGTGTACCTTGCCACGCACTCTCGCTTGTCTGCACCTGCCTCGATCTCCTTGGTGTAGACAAACTGGGGGATGCTGCCAATTAGGGCCAGGCACCAGACAGCAACGCACGTGCACGCAGCCTGCTTAGGTCGCCTGCGGTTCTGACACCACACGGGTTTGCTGACCAGCATCCAGCGATCCACACTGATCAAAACCAGCTGCAGGACACTGCAGTACATCACCAGGTAAAACAGGCCTTTGACCATTGTGCAGGCCAGCGGGCCAAAGTGCCAGTGGTCATCGTGGGCTAGAGGGACCATGAGCAAGGGGAGGGAGAGGCAGCACAGAAGATCAGCCAGGGCGAGGTTGAGAAACCAGAGGGAAGTGACAGAGCGTTGCATGCAGAAGCCCGTCACCCACACCACCAGCGCATTTCCAGGCACACCCAGCAGGACCACAAGGCCGTAGAAAACCAGAGCCGCTATCTGGATCGGTTGAATCTCGAGGGCCAAAGTGTGAGGAATCTCAGGCAGTGTGTAATTATAATCAGACATGTTAAAGTCCGGCATATTTTCGTTAAAGTCATAGTCCCCAACGTCATTCATGGTTGGTTTAAGCTGGAGATGGAAAAGTTGTCAAATTTTAAGACACATAACTGTTTATCATGCCTAAATGAATATTATCAGTAGACAACAGTGTATATTTTGATTGAGAATTGTTATATTTGATGTGATAAAGTAATGTTAAACAAATATGGCCTTTCAAAATTATTATGTGTGATACTAAGTCATGTCCCTGAATTAGCCCAGCACAGTCATAGCACATTCAGGCCTGATTAAAGCTGAAGTAGGCTATTTAGGCCTCTCTTAATATGTCAAATCTAGTTACAAAACAGTGACAATTAAAACTTAGATTTTGCTGATATTTCAACTTACGTTTTGGTGGCCTGTTGATGTTGCACCCACAGGGCTAGCGGGAAGTTATGGAGCTGTTCTACTTTGAAGTGTGTTTTATACCCTTTGCTGACACACACTCACACACTCACACATACACACACGCACACTTACACTATTTATTCACACACACACTTACACAATATTCCTATCTAGACTATGAAATTGAGACTTATAGTCTTCCTTGGAAATAAAAGTTTCATTCAAACAAAAAATTAATAAAAGTATTTACCAAATACAGTTAAAGTAAATGTTTGCAGGCCTGAATCACAATTCTGATGATTCATCAGAAATTCTGAATAGTTATTTTCATTTATATAAAGTAAATATATAGCATACAGTATATTCACTTAATAAAAATCTGCTTATATTCTTGTTATTCTGCTGCTTTGACACTTCCCTGCATGGGATGGATAAAATAATCTTATCTTGATGTTGTAGGAACCACATTCACTTCCACATAAAACATAAGCAGAACCTTGGCCCCTTCTATGGTCAACTTAAAGCTAGAAAGTACTGTAAATTTAAATGTGCATTACTAAAGAATAATAGGGATAAAAGAAAGTCCGAAAAACAATCCAATAAAAATGTTGCATGAAACAAAAGCAAAAAGTATTCAGTCTGTCAGAGTTTGTAGACGGTTATGAATATTATCCCCGCGACCCTGTATGCAGGATAAGCGGTTGACGATGGATGGATGGATGAATATTATCTGCACACTTTGCACAAAAACATTTTGTAGTATTCTGAGAAGAAGTGGATTTATTACTGTAGGTAACATCTCTAAGATGTTTTTTTAAAAAGTGGTATTTTTCTCAAGATCCAAAAATAATTGTCTGTATTAATGGGACAAAATACTTTATTGTCAAATTCATAATAATCATTTAACAGTAACACAACAATTTTACCATATATACAAGTTATTCACAAATCAGCCTACACATAAATTAGTTTTATTACACACCTGATGTTCTCAATTGCACCTATAGCTGGTGTCATGAAAAGCAACTAGAGCTGCCCACTTTTTTGAGTTCAACATGCATGATAACAAACTGAATGTCCAATCCTGTCCAACAAACAGAAGGAGCAAAATGCTTCTGACCATGGACTGCTGTAACTTTGGAAAATGCTGATTTAAAGATCACAACATTAGTCACTCACATAATGCAACATCTTTGAGGTATGACTGACTCATTAGGGAAATTTAGTTAAAATAAAATAATCACTGGATGTCGTCTGTGGGGTTTATAAAGTTTATAAAAAGATCACATCTTACAGTGCTCCACGGAGTCAGCATAGAGCAGAACGGCAAGTCGATCCAGAGACAACAGCCAACGCAATCTACAGTGTTTTAAGAAATACTGTATATACTGAAGTTATAACCAGGAAAATGTCCTCAAAAGCCACCTGTGGGTTCAAAATGATGATCTACGAGAAAGATGTTTATTAAGGTACAGGCTGTTATCTGTATCCGAGACAGAGATGAAGTAAAGAAAATGAACAAAGAAAAACCTAAAGATATGTTGCCACGGCAGGATGTTCTCTTTTAGCCCTATAACATTCAATGAGCCCTTAAAAATTATGAAACAAGGGAAATGAAACACAAAGTCACAATGTCAGCAAAATTTTCCCTAACAATTAAAAAAACAGCAAAGACACCATGTTGCTTAAAACTCTGTCACCAGTGTCAGCAAGCTGACTGAGAATGTGTGTTTGTTTATTTCTGTACATGGCGCTTCTTGTACGCACCAATATAAATGTCACAGTTGGTGTGTAGCTGTTTATCAGTGTTCGACACCTAATTTGATACTTGTGTTATCTCCTCTTCATCAACATTGGCCTTCAGTTCACATTTTGCATCATCTGTAACTGTAAAACTCCCGGTTGCTATGTTTTGTCATAGTTGTTGCCATACTTAATGTCGGCACGTTTCCTCACAGGTTCATCAGAGGGGCTGGGTTCTTGGAGGTCAAGTCAGTTGAGGGCTGGAGCGCTGCTTGGTGGAAGCGTGGGGGTATCATCTCTAAAAGCATCCGACTGAAGGTCTGCAGAAAGGAGAGTGTCTTTATGTTGTTGTTTTTTCAAACATTACTTTAACATCAGACATTTGAGCTCTCACCATTGAACATTTTAAACATTTTTTTGTAAATGTAATATAAGTGTATTTTTCTGCAAGGTGTACGTTAGGTGTAGCATCAGAATACAGCCCTATATAATTTCATCCATTGAATGATGCTTCTGTCTTTTTTTCTCATTCCTTAGCTTTAAGCATAACTTTCCCAAGCAACCCAAGAATATAAATAAACCGGTTTTAACAAAATCCAGATAAGCTTGTTGACTAAGCACCTATTAGCCAACTAGTGTATTGCTAACAATTTTCTAGGCTGTTGCTTAGATTTTGAAAGTGGGAGCTGGAGTATTATGTATGTGGTTACTAAAAGACTCTAGTACGACTTTGACTGGTAACGCTAGTGTTTGCTAAGCGATACGGCCTAAGTTATTAAGGTGTTTTGTGTTTCTGTATGGGTTTTGCTAGGGTGTTTCCCAGTGGATATGTAGCCACCTATGCAGTAATACAGTATTATAAGATAAAATATTTACACATACACTTACCCACCCAAAATTAGAGAAACAAGGTACCATGAAAATGCTGTTACAGTATCTCACAAAAGTGAGAACACCCCTCACATTTTTGTAAATATTTCATTATATCTTGTCATGTGACAACACTGTAGAAATGACACTTTGCTACAATGTAAAGTAGTGGGTGTACAGCTTGTATAACAGTGTAAATTTGCTGTCCCTTCAAAATAATACAACACATACATTTATGTCTAAACTGCTGGCAACAAAAGTGGGTACACCCAAAGGTGAAAATGTCCAAATTGTGTCCAAAGTGTCAATATTTTGTGTGGCCACCATTATTTTCCAGCACTGCCTTAACCCTTTTGGCATGGAGTTCACCAGAGCTTCATAGGTTGCCACTGGAGTCCTCTTCCACTCTTCCATGACAACATCACGGAGCCGGTGGATGTTGGTGGAAGTTGGAGGACCTAGTAGCAATGTGTCATCTTTCCAGTGTTGTCACATGAAAATATATAATCAAATATTTACAAAAATGTGAGGGGTGTACTCACTTTTGTGAGAAACTGTATATGCACTATAGCTCTGTGATTTGTGCTGGTCATGCAATATGGGTATTCTCAGCTCAGCTGCATCCAATGTGGGTAGTAGTTCACTCACACAACCATTTACCCTCAAAAAAATAGAGAAGTGAGTTGGCATATAATGCTGACTCTCTGTTATTATCCTATGTTGCTACATCTGATTTTCCATTGAAAATGTATTTTTGAACAGGGAGGAAGACTGAAAATAAGTGCAGGTCTGTAACAGCGGCTAATTTGGGGTCTTGATATTCACGATTAGTTCTAAACACATGTGCCTTAGTTGGCGTAATGGTTAACGAAATGGTTATGTTCTACCAAACTAAAGATATCCAAGCAGAGCATTAGGGTGTGTAAAAAGACTATTTTAATCATGAGAGGGAGTGTTAAGCAAAGGGTATAACATGCAACTCACCAATGAGTGTCAAGCCTTGCTGTTGGTTCAGTATAACTGATGTCTCCTCTTCCTCTTCCTCTTCTCCCCAGTCTGCGATGTTGGCTGGGGGAATGCACTGCTCCAAGAACAGGTCCTCCTCATCTTCCTCCATGTCTATGTTCTCTGGAGGCCAGCGCAGCTCTCCGCTCTCCACCTCGCTCACCTCTGTGGGTTCAACAACGATGGAGGGTAGACGCTCCTTCTCATGGTTGTGGTCCAGGCTGTTCAAGGTGGTCTCTGGGCCCAGGACAACCTCAACAGGGTCAGGGAAGATCTGGAGGAAAATCAGGGAAAGGTGACTGAGAATTGAGCAGAAAAGTCATACTGAAAGTAAGTTCTGTTTATAGCAAAATATGTCCGTTTAGAATAATCTTTAAATCTGCATTTGTTTTAATAGTTTTGGTATATTGTCCAGTTTTCACCACTCTCATATTAAATAATCCTACAGATTTATCTCGCTCTCCCTGTCTCTCACACACCTACGCAATGTCTGGACCTTGGATTTTGTGTACTTATTGTATCTCGTGGTTTTTAATCCTTGTTTTTATCAGCATTTGTGTCAGTACTGTCTAGCATTTTCCAACAAGCCTGTTTTAAAATAATAAACATAATATGAAAAAGGCATTTTTCAGAAACTATTATATTGTCTTGGTGTGATAAATTCAACCAGGTTGGGTTGCTACACATGATGATGATGGAAAATACCTGGAATGGCAGTCTTTGGTCCTTCCTTTGCATGTCTTCACAGTTTGGGTCTTGACTGCTCATCTCCTCCATCTCTCTGCAGATGAAACAAAGCCATAATGAGACTAGCACAGAAACTAGAAACAAACATACACTGTAAAGGAAAAAGTGCCATATGTTTAGTGTTATGACCCTGGAGTCATATTTTGTTGTTTGTTTATCTCTCCTGGCACTGTCAGCTGTTCAGGTGGACACACTGGATTGGTCCGGTTGAGCTGATTGGAGCCTCCTGATTGGGCACCTGGATGACAGCAGCCATCTTAAGCCCCACTGACAGGAACTCTCCCCCTCTCTCTGCCATTCCCAACCTGCCTGAGGACTGTGTGTTATGTCTGTGTTTATTGTACATCATGAACGGTTGTGACTATATTCAACTTAGATTGTAAGTAGTTTATCGGAGTCCTTCTGATTGTCTTATGACAACCTGGTTTTGTTGGCTTTGCCATTTTTGGTTGCTATGAAGCAATTTCCTTTGTCATAGCTATATTGTGTCAGCTACTAGCAGTGAGTAGGAGTGAGAAGCCCTTTTTTTTTGTTTGCACCGTTTTCTCCTGTTTTTGGACTTAGAAGCCTAGTTTTAGAGCTTTGTCTTTTCTTTACCTTTTGGTTTTGGGTTTAGGAAAGATTTAGGTTTTCTTAGTGTTTTGGTTGTTGTTTTGGGCACTGCTCCTCTCCGATGTATAATAAAAACTGCTAAATTGTATTTATTGTGTGCTGGTCTTGGGAATGGGAAGAGTGGGAGGCCACACATTTGTTACATCCAGGACACCCCTAGACCTTGGGACGTAACATTAGCAAGAAAACATTCTATTCCCTTTGCAAATCTGATGCCTGTAAGAAGTATTTAAATCCTCCTTTCTGTTTGTAGAAACCATTTAAGAATTAACATTTTATCAATCATTTTAACACTGAGAACCCCAAGAATCCCCAAAGAGGAAGTTTTCTAACAGACCTTGATTTTCTCTTGCAACCTCAGAATCTCGGTTTCATAACCGTTGTACTTTAGAAGTCAATTTAGATGCCCCCAACTCCTTGAGTACAATAGCAATCACCTGTAGAAACTGAGAAACCATTTAAAATCCTAAGAAGAAGATTGGCTCTAAGACATTAAGCAAATAGTTTGTGCTGAGGAGGTTTTGATTTAGTTTGAGGAACAAAGGTCATCCATAGTTTCCATGAAATACAGTGGGTACGGAAAGTATTCAGACCCCTTTAAATTTTTCACTCTTTGTTTCATTGCAGCCATTTTCCAAAAATCAAAAAAGTTCATTTTATTTCTCAGTAATGTACACTCAGCACCCCATCTTGACAGAAAAAAAACAGAAATGTAGAAATTTTTGCAAATTTATTAAAAAAGAAAAACTGAAATATCACATGGTCATAAGTATTCAGACCCTTTGCTCAGTATTTAGTAGAAGCTCCCTTTTGATCTAATACAGCCATGAGTCGTTTTGGGAAAGATGCAACAAGTTTTTCACATCTGGATTTGGGTATCCTCTGCCATTCCTCCTTGCAGATCCTCTCCAGTTCTGTCAGGTTGGATGGTAAACGTTGGTGGACAGCCATTTTCAGGTCTCTCCAGAGATGCTCAATTGGGTTTGAGTCAGGGCTCTGGCTGGGCCATTCAAGAACAGCCACGGAGTTGTTGTGAAGCCACTCCTTCGTTATTTACACTGTATCTCATTCCATTCTATCTGTATGCCTTTCTAAATGATTATATAATAGTCAAAGACATTCCTCTCCCAACAAAACCATCTTCTACACCAAAGACTTATTTTCACATACATATAGCTTATGTAAAGATATTTGCCATATAGGACATTCAAACAAATGGCAGTGATTGACCGCTAAATACATGGAAAACAGTCAAAGGAAATTCAGCTTAGTGACTGCTTACATGTCTATCTGACTTGTCTACCTGCCTGCACAGCTCTGAGATCCAGTGTTGGACATTCAGTGGCACTGGATGAAATCACTTCATGTGGTTTTCTGTGAAATAACATCACTGCCCCGCCTCATGCCCCTGTGTCATAGCTGAATTGCACCAGTTTCACAGTATCCAACATACCAGGCTTTTGATTGGTCAGAGGTTTTCTGTCCCACATCTGATTGGCCAAAGTTGGTCGGACTATGTGAATTATGTGAATATGTGTGATTCTCCTAACACACACACTGAAACACTCTCATACTCCAGATTAGGGGAGAACTCAAATAGGGTTTGGTACCAAAATGGATTATGTCCTCTGACGCTGATATTTTATTTTCTGACAGGCAGCCTGACAGAACAAATGCGCTGTTTTGGCTCTGTCAACTCTTAAATAGGGCTGTAAGCCATAGAGGCAGAAATCTCCTGTTTCATCTCACAGCCACTGCACTATTTGGTGTGAAAAAGTCACCTCTGTTTCTTATAGCCATTTCTTGATCATGTGACCTTTATCAGACAGTATGTTAGGCCCATAGTCCACAATATCTGTCATTTGCTTAACTTACATGGATGAGCCTGTGTCCACATTCAACGTCAATCTGTTTACAATCTCCAGAAAAGCCGACGGGGGATTAAGAAGGACTGAGGATCTGCCCGAATCCTCTTTTTATCCCTATCTCCTGCTCCTGCTCTCACTATGTCTCAGTGTCTGTCCTCTCTCCATAAGTACCAATCATGGTTTGTTGTCATTCAGAGGCCTCGTGTAGTAACACAATCTCTTAAATCTTGCTTAATCTTAAATTAAATTTCAGTTGAAAAACAGACCTTATCTCCCTTGCTTCTGTTTTTAGACCCTCTGTCGGGTACTTTTTGGTATTTGCTAACAGCAGCACCAGTCACGTACAACATCCAACTAATGGGGTAAACCCAACTATTTTGAAAGTGCTTGTCATTCTTTATTTTGGTCAATGTGCTAGTACACACTTGTGTCTGCCACAGCAGATACCATCTGCAAACCTGAGTAAATCTGTGCTCTGTGGTAACCAGTGTGAGAAGCATTGAGTAAGCCTAAGGTCAAGAAGTACAGTAAATGTACTGTATGTTGAAGGTCACGGATCAGGACCACACTGACTGTTAAGTGTTCAGTTCACCAGCTGCAAACATAGTTTAAAAGTGTCTACAGTGGTTTCAAATCCATAATGGCTTGTGTCTTTCACCAACAATTTTGGTGACACAAGCAAGGTTTTGGTTTCTTTTAATATAGTAGACACAGGAAGAATTTATAGTTTCAACAATTGTGAATTAAAAAAATTAAATGAGAATGTTTCTCTCCTTCCCTCCCTCCCTCTCACACCCCTCATCACTCTTTCTTTCTCTTTTTATCTGTTAAATTGAATTGCTCTGAATATAACTGATCTGAATAGATTTTAGTAAATATTTCTCTCTGACTGCCTTAATGTGATGTGTGACAAATTTTAAGCCTTATTTTTCCTATCAACATGCTTAAGGTCATTGTATAATATAACAAATGAAGAAAAGCTAAACCAGTTTGCACAACCGCCAAAATGAGGACGCCCCCTGTCCTTGTCTAAATACGATCAGCTTTGGTTGGATGCTATCATTTTTGACCCACTTGTGAATATGCGCAGCCCTACAATTCAATTTCTGATATTATGCCGCTGACATCTGTGTCATGCTAAACTATTTCTGTGCCACCTGGGACGGAAACTTTCAGCAGCTATTATGATGAAGAAGCTTAACCTCGATGTAATCCCTCTCATATACACTTCCTCTAAACACCTGCATGTTTCAGCTCAGTCAACAATCAGTCTTTGTGCAGCGTGCTGTATTTTGCATGCCACAAGTTAAAAAATACGGTATAACAATTCCAGAAGAAAATAATACCTAACAAAAAAGATACTACATTATAAGTAATTGAAGAGATGTACTGGAAATAAGCAAGACAATTCAATTAAATTGATACCTCAGGGATGAAAAAAATCATGTTGCATCACATCCCTTCAGGAAAAGGAAACTCTGATAGGTGTGACCAGTTTGTGGTAAATATAGACATCAAACTTTGTATTTCTGCATTCAATTTCCTGTCCAATCTGACACAAGTAGTGAGATAAACTGCTATGATTCCTTTAGAGGGTTCTTGCAACACGCTGTTCTTATGCAAAGAAACGAAGAAATTCTGAGGTACCCTTTCAGCAGGCCATGATGGCTTCCTGTTTAAAAACAGCTATTTCACACTTCTCCAGCATCACCAGAGACTGTTACATGATCGAAACATGCTCTCTCTCTCTCTCTCTCTCTCTCTCTCTCTCTCTCTCTCTCTCTCTCTGCGAGCCTTACACACATCCTTATACAGAATAATGGCCATCCACATCCTTTAACACATGTTCACACACACACACACACACACACACTTACTTAATTACAGTGCTAATAGAACATATAACTAAATTACTTTAACCTATATACCCTTCCTGTTTATGCACAAAAGTTCTCTTTCTTTACTTTATCTTCCCCTCTGTGTCTTATTTCCCCACTTTCACTGATTATGTATGCAGCAACGTTATTTTATGTGAATCACTGAACCTCCTACATCCTTAATATATCTGTTCTTAAAAGCCTGTTTCTATTTCACTACATGCTTGCAGTGTTCTTACCATGAATGCTCAAGTGAGGATTTAACAGTTTAAACCTTTTGTAGGACATTCCAGTAAGCATTCATTATCTTGTTAGCACTATAGATAGCAACCTTAAAAAAACTTTATGTAATGGACTCTTTTCCCTCTTAATCGAGAGATATATAATATCTGTAATATCCATAATGTAATAATATAAATGAAAACTCCAAAACAGCTACTATATGGATCATGTGTGAAACTGTTTTTGCCAACAACTGTTTCCAAGGTCAGGAATGAACTTTTTCAATCTCAAATTTTAAGCCAACATGGATGAGACATCCTTAAAGTGCTTAGAAGAAGTTTGACATGTTCAATCACAACTGGGCCAAACCTCAACTGTTTTGTCAACTACTTTCTACTGGGGAATCTCATGAACATTGGCTAAACAAATCTTCTCTGGTGAGTTCCACACCACACACACACACACACACACACACACAAACTTCTTACCCATCGCTTGCATTCAGGCAGATGTCTTCTCCATCTTGGCACAGCTCCACACTGGTGAAGCCTGGCTCCTCCACTGTGAGCACAGGTGACACAAGAGGGGGTACAGGAGGAGGTGAGCAGCTCCCACAGCATTCCCCCTCCGCAGAGCCCTCAGCAAGGCTTTTGTCCTCCAGGGCGAAGCCTGGCAGTGGGGGTCTCAAACCCTCAGGCGTCCCAGGAGTTTCAAAGCGGATCAGGAGGTGGGCGCGTGCCTGGTTTCCTTGGTCAGTTTACTTGTCCAGGTCCGCGCTTAGTCTGTCTGCTTGTCCAAAGCCTACATGTGCTCCCTTGTCTCCCGTATCCAACTTTTTTCCTTGTGTCTCTCTCAGTATCCCTCCTCGTCCCACCCCACCTCACTGCCAGGCTTTGGAAAGGAGGATTAGCGTCTCTTTCGATTACAGAGGCTGGACGGGTGACGTCAGCCAGGCTTGACAGTCCCCTGTGATGAGTTGGCACACTGGGTCGCCATTGCATCTATAAAGAAACATACAAAAGGCACAAAGATGACACATGGCCACACTGTTAAGAGAAACTAAATTGACTCAGAAGGAGCATAACTGCTCACAAAATGGACAAGGAGACGTTTTGCATGTTTTAATATGAGCTCCTTCTAGCTTCCCAATCCTGTGTGTTTGTCCACCATGCCTCTCTCTCCCCCTTTTCCCAGCTGTGTGTGCCGTTGCTTCATCAGTGGATTTAGATTTGTCCGATTCATGGAATTAGCCCAGGGATCAAGGGCTCAGGGGTGGGGAGGGGATATATATATATAACAGGCTCCAACTATTGCTAAACAGACAGCGCTCTGCTAACAGAGTGTAATCCCCCTCTGTAGGCTAAGTCAGTAGGCTATATATGGAACAAGGTATTGAAGGAACAAGTGCAACATGAAGGGCAACCTGCTTCTGCAGAACTATGGGTGAAAGAAATTTCAGAGAATACCTTCAAAATCATTAATGTTTACAGTTCAAAACATCTGTCTGTCCTCAGCCTGTTCTCCTACCCAGAGCGTTTTTCTCCTTCATAACTAAAGTGTTTATGCAAATATGTGGCCATTGTGCAAATGAGTTGGAATCACCCAGATCATATGCAAAAATTTAATAGAGCTCATTTGAATAGAGAGTTCATTGTGTGATGGACTTTTTAATGTATATATAATAAAGACAGTATTCCGTGTCCATTCCATTGGTGGTGTATTTGAGTCAAATGCAGCTTTCATTAAGAACCACACAATCAGTTACTTATTATAGATAACAATTGCTCACAAAATTGGTACCAAAAATCAGCTTTAGAAGACCTAAGTGGTGTCTTATCTGACCTTGTAGATTGCAGAAACTACAGTAACTGTGAGCTGTTTTCTACACTATATTGTACAGTATGGGCTATGATGATTTCCAGGAGCAGAAAATTCAGTGGCAGGCAGCTAGTGGGCAGGTGAGGAAGGGCAGACCTGGGTGTAATTGCAGGTCATGTTTCACATGAGGGCAGCATTGTACCCAGTAGTCAGAAGTCCCAACACACATTCAGAAAGTCTGATTGATTGACTGATGGTTAGATAGATGATCATAGATTAATAGACAGATAACATTAGATAGATACAAAAATGCTTTTTAAATGCTTCCAAGCTTCACTGAAGGGCAGCAATCTGCAAACCACAAAATCTACCTTACATGTGTAAACATGTAAATACAAAACAAAACAGTGTAACAAGTCAGTGTAATGGCAGGTAAATAGTAGCATAGAAGTTTTATAGTAGTCAGGTAACAATAACATAGTGACAAACCTGTGATCCAGTAGTACAATATCTACACAATTCATAACCTGTCAAACATCACCAAGCTTGAGCACCAATCAACTCCAATTTCAGGAAATTATAATAAAGAGTTGGTTTAACTATAATTCTTACAAATATCCTCCACCTCAATGCTGCAAATCAGGGATCTCACTAACAATACCTGTAGTTTTACACACCAGCTTACTTGCCAGAACATTCTGAAGCATTTGTTTTTCTAAAATGGAGCTGGGACAACATATAAAAGCCAGAGGCAGAGACACTGCAAGTGATTACCAGTCTGTGAGGGCATGGCTGTGTTTATTTCTCAATTCTGCTTCTTAATCTCCTTCTGGCTTACTCACTAATTCACTCTTATCCTGACACTTGTTGTAGCAGTGTTACACAATATTCATATCAATCTAAAGATGTGTGATTAAAAACAATACTGATGATGATAATGATAAATGCAACGTATAAAAAGAGAAAGGTTATGAAAATCTCAAATAATTAGGATTAATATTAATTATCAAAAAATTGCGCAAAATCAAGTTTAAATATTTCATATAAATTATTGTCAATAGCAGCATATCTATCTTTGATCATATAACAAACAACACAGAAAATACCAAGGTCATGAAAAGCTCAGTTGAATGTTCTGAATACCATCACTAAACTCCACCTTTGCAAATAGGAAGCCTGTAATTAGGGCAGACAAGACTCATTTATTACTGACTTAAGATTCTGAAGAATCTTTACAAACAATTACACCGAATCACCTCTCTGTCAGTGCAACTAGTTGTTTTTTTCACTACTAACCAGTTACTCAGCTTTATTCTGGATGAACTATAAATACTGTGCAAAACAACTGGATCAGACATGACTGGACTGTATCATACATACAGTATGTACCTTCTATTGTCATTTTCCCCAAACACTCCCTTTGAGCTGCAAGAGATCCTGATGCTATAACATGTATGTGCAGTGATTCTGTGGCCTTTTCTGCATGGCAGTAAGTGTGAAAAAAAGGTCTACATAAACAGAAGAATTGTGCTAAACACCAACAGCACAACAAAGCAGCAGCATGCGTCCATTAGGCAATCATGAGCAATGAGCAATGAGCATGAGCAATCAACTGTAATAGACAATGATAAAGCTACTATAATCTGGGACGTGCCAAGTCAAATTGATAGAGAAACCAAGGCTAACAGACCCGACATTGTAGTGAAGGACAAGAAGGAGAGAAGTTGTCTGCTCGTTGACATGTCTGTCCCCACCAAAATGATGATGCCTCCCTAAAGACCACAGAAAAACTCTCCCAATATAAAGATCTGGAGATGGAAATTGAGAGAATGTGGGGGATGAAGACCACTACGATACCAGTGGTAATAGGTGCTCTTGATCTGGTCAAGAAAGGGATGGAAAAATACACCAACAAAATCCCTGGTAACATTAAGATACAAGAAATCCAGAGATCGTCCTCCTCAGCACTGCTCACATTTTTAAAGAGGACCTTATACATGAAATAAATCCATCACACCCTCATCACCATGTATTGGACTCGGCTCTATGAGTGAACAAAGCAGGACATTAAGAAATAATAATAATAATAAACAAAGTTCTTGGCTGTTTTACTGAAATTAACCTTGTTTTTCATTTGCCATGAACAAATAATAAGAAAGTTGTTATCTATCTTCCCACACACCTGGAGGCGCTGTCTCAAAAATCGTCACAGTACACGCATGCGCAGCTGGTCTGTTTTCAGACGAGTGGAAGCGAAAAAGGCAGAGCATCAAGTTTGTTATTTGTGAGGTTTAACTTAAACCAAAAGGTGCCCCAATGGATTTAGACACTGGAGCGTACGAACCAGGATTTGTTGGGATACGGTTTTGTCAAGAATGGTGAGTTTTTGGCCGAATAGAGGTTAGATCAGTTAACCTAGCTAATGTTTAAGTGTGGAAGCTACACGCATGTTAGCCTAGCGTTGTCTTTATAAATAACTATAGTTAAGTCTTACTTTGTAAAGGAATTGAAGGGCAAAATGAAAATGGAAAATCCATTAAACATACTGAGTTTGTTTTTCAGTAACAACATGTTATACCCTAAAGAAGACAAGGAGAACCGTATCCTGCTGTATGCGGTAAGTTAACGTTGACTTAAGTGACTGATAACTGGTAACGTTAGTGTGATCGCGCCTCTTGAGGTGACGTTAATTGACGTATAATAAATTATATAGTTATAACGACTACATAATAAAGTTGTGAGTGTACCAAATCATTTGGCGTAGTTTTAAAATGTCCTAAATTCGTCCCTTTTTTGTCAGGGCTACCTCTAACGTTAGTCCTGTTCGGGTCTGTCTCATTCACTGGAAGGTCCCTCAGGAAAGTTTAGAGAACATGCTGTAACGTTAAGCTGCTCTTTAACGGAGGTGGGGCAGCTAACCAAACTAACCAGTCTTTTCTCTTATAAAACTGAAAGGAAAAGAAAAATTACAATAAAGCACAAATCTTACCTTCGTGTCGCTTGTCCGGGACTGTTTCCCACACAGTGGTTGAACGAGGCTAATTAAACCTCAGGACTTAGTGGTCCATTATTGACACGAGTTCAGTTTATCTGGGAAGTAACACATAGGACGATGAGCACAGTGTTTTCAAGGAGTATTGAAATCATAAAGTTTGAACACCATCAAACTAGGGCTGAGCGGTATATCGGTATTATGAGGTATACATATATAATTTCAAAAGGGATATAAAATTAGACACTAACGTTGTTAATATGTTATGTCTTTATATATCATAGTCTGCTACTGATGGAGAAAGTCACCGGAGCAGACATACAGGGAGAAAGCAGGGCATGCTTATATGTTTGCAGCACAGGCACGTTTAGTTAGTTAGTGCTAAGCCCACTTAGGAGAAAATCCCGATATATATTTTATATCGGGATTCAGCCTAAGAGTACCAGGATATGACTTTTTGGTCTATATCGCACAGCCCTACATCAAATTTTAAAAAATTAAAAACTATTAAAAGTGACAATGTTTCAATGAAGTTGGGTTTTGCATCAATCTGAGTCATTCAAAATGTAGTGTATGTGCGGTGCAATAAGTAAGCGGTGACACAACAGGGATCACTCCTAACATGAAGATGGTTAGGCCTACACTGATATAGGCCAGTATACAGGGTAAAACTTCTGTCCCGTGCTAGGTTGTTGTTGTTGACTCTTACTGAACTAAAAAAACAAAACAAAATCTAGAGGGATGACTTGTCAGGCAGGCAGGCAATGTGAATGCCTATATTAATTTTCTGAATGCCCTGTGCACAGTGCAGGAACTGTGACTACCAACAAGAGGCGGACAACAGCTGCATCTATGTCAACAAGATCACCCACGAGGTTGAGTGAGTAAAAGAAACCACATTACCACATAAATTACCAAGATCTCGATTAGCTTGAAATTGACTGATATATCATTCTGTAGTTTTTTAATGCAGTTTCATCTCTGCATAATAAGAGGAACTTAACATCCACTGTAAATTTTGTTCTTGCTGACCTCCAGTTGTTTTAACTTGTCACCTTGTAGTAATGTATAGGTGCCCACAGGACCATGTGAGATCACTGTTGGGTGTGGGTACAGGTGCAACCAAGCACATTTGTCTTTTTCTGAGAAGCAGGCTTGAAACCTTTCATTCTAGCATTAGGTTGCTTACCCTGCTTGCAACCACTACAGCTTTTTTTTATAGTCACGAAAATGGTCACTGACAAATGAAGTTAAATGCGTCATCCATACACTTTCATGCGCACACTTCCTCACTTGACTACGGCAGTCCTGTCATATGTCATGATCTGTTTCAGAAATTGCCGAAATAACTTTTTTAATCATGGTTTAAACACATATTAAATGACTAAACATTTGCAATAGGGCATCGTTTGTAATGCCCATAATAGTAAAACCTTATATTGCACACTTTATGTATATAATGTCAGTCATTTGAAGGCTGATTGTCTGTAAGTCATCTAGCATCCTGACTCTGTTTTTCTCCAGCGAGCTGACACAGATCATTGCTGATGTATCTCAGGATCCAACACTACCAAGGACGGAGGATCACCCCTGTCCCAAGTACGTTTTACCATAATAAGTCGACATCCCTCCCTCCCTCTGGAGACCCCTTATCGTTCTTCTGATGTTTTTAGGTTAATAATTCTTGTGGTGTTTGTTTGATGCAATATTTAGTATCGTTGGATTTTTGGACATTCAGCACAGATAAACTGTTTTAGGAGAATTATAATCTGCATTAAGTAGGATTTGGCAATATGGCCAAAAATGTTATCACAATAAAAAATATCTTTCATATAAGTCATATCTTTCGATATCAATAATTATTACAAATAAATGTCAAGTCATTATTTATTTCTAGTTTAAAGGCAGATTTTTACTCCTGAGTGAAAGTTGAAGAAACCAGATGGTTAATTGTGGTTTTAAAATATTCTTATGGTCAGAACAAACACTTGATGCCATACAGTGGTTCACTTAACAAATCTGAGGTAGACCATTAAAAACAATTATGATAACATCTTTTTTCAACATACATGCATGAGTAAAGTTCAGTAAAATCTTTTTTCAGTCCCTTTTCCTTAACAAAATAAATATCTTAATAGAAAAATAAAGTGTTAACTCGTTTGTGATTCAAATGAATTAAATCAAACATTTATTGAGCATTTGTTATGTTGTTATTGAGGAAAATTATATTGCAATAATTATCATTATTGTTTGATTTTCCAGCCCTAGCATTAAGTGATTCTTGACCACAAAAGGAAAGAAAGTTGACTACTTAATTCCTAATTCACAGCAACAAGCCTATATGTAATGTATACTCCATCATGTCTGCACTGTATTACTGTCATGTAACGTTACACTCATACCAGAAACAGAGCAAACTTGTTTCCTGATTGGCGTCATCATTCTCACCACCTGACAAACGTCTGCAGAAACTTTGATTTGGAATTTATCTCTTTTTTTTTTTTTTTTTTATAAACCTGCCAAGTTCTGAGAATAACAGTAGTAGCTTTGCCTTACTGGATGACTGACCAGCCACACGTTTACTTCACCACTTTTCCATCTTAAACTGGGAATAAGTAGTTTCAAAGTTTTATATAGGCATGGCGGGCTGGAGTGATTAACCATACAAGCATACAAACCACATAAGGGTTAAAACTGCGTAGAGCTGCTAATTGTTACTTTATTAATTTTAATCATTTGGTGAAGAGCACCAGCATCCTTTTGCACTTTAACTGATTGAGAACTGAAACGTTGTGACATTGAGCGACTGTGTTCGCAGTGGTTTCATTGTTCTATGTCTCATCCTAGATGTGGTCACAAGGAGGCAGTGTTCTTCCAGTCCCACAGTATGAAGGCTGAGGTAATGATCTTTATTGGTGAAAAACATCATACATGACCTGTCGTCTTAATATTGTTTGTCTATGAATACGTTTACCAGCTTTTTGTGGTCAGCAGCATGCCATGTTTCAGCCATTAATGAAACGGGAAGGTCTACTATTTTAAGCGTATGTTGTGTTTTTCCTGACAGGATGCAATGAGACTGTACTACGTCTGCACAGCCCCCCACTGTGGGCACAGATGGACAGAGTAAAGCTGGTGATCAAGAGGAGGTCATACATTTGCATCTACAGTATTGCTGTTCACGAAAAAATATTCCTAGCAGCAGCTCATATAGAGCTCTTTTTTTTTTTATTCTCAGCACTGCTGATGTCTGTTGACCTTTTGTACGATGACTGGCAGTTTGTCAGACACAATCTTGTGAATATAATGTATTAATAGTTTTTTTTAACAGTTGTCATTTTCAAATGTGTTTTTGTTAGATTAAAATAATCTGCTGTTTCAAATGTCTCTGAGTATTTAATGAAACAAGTAACTGTGTAACACGTGCTGTAATTATTCACATTAGCAGACACACCCATACTTTTGGCAGCATGGACACTTAATTGGCCTCTTCAGTAGGGACAGGTCTCAAAACCTAGTATGAAACGGGCCCCGGGGCTACATGATAAGACTGTTAAATTGATAAGCTCCAAAATTAATGGTTCTTTTATCTGTACTTTTTAATGCTTTGGTGTAATTTCTTATTACACTAGAGTATCGCTCCTGCTCTGTGTGTTGGAGCTGTAGAAAGCCATATTTTAATAGAAGCACAGCGTGCTAGTTCAGCTAATAGAAAGCTATTACAAACTAGCTAAAATGAAATCTATCTCTTTGTAGTCCTAAGTGTTTCGCTTATTTTGCCACAAATCTTAAATTTGAAAAATTCTTGTAAACTGAGCTGCTGGCTGAGACAAACCGGGCCCTCCTTCCAGAATTCCTGTTCTAGAAACAACATTTAGTTATAGTTAAAATATTAAAATAAAAAAATGATTCTGTTTGGAAGTTTTTAAATATCTTTATTAAAAGCAATTGTTTATTATTGAAAAATAACTGATGAGATTGTTGATAGAGAACCAAACCAATAGGGAGTGTCAATTAAAATCCCAACGATACCCAGTTTTTAGACTACTTATTAACATCAGGGTTTGTTTCCTCCTATGGAAAAAAGCATACACGGTACTTGATATTGCAAAACAGATACTACTGATTTAACTCCCATGACTCTTGACATCATTCTGAAGCAGCCGTCTGTACCACAGATTTTCTGCCACTATGGAATACTGGCAGTATCATCTTCCTCTTTTTCAAAACATGTATATTCCAAACAACCTGTTGAGCAACTGAAGACTATTACTCAGCTAGCATGACCAGTGGGAAAACAATGTGTGTGCTCATAAAAAAAGACATGTGTATACATGAAACAACAAAGAACGCGGAAGGTGTACTTCCCATAACCACACCTCCTGAAACAGACTGCTTGATAATGCAGCTGCACAGTCTGCTGCTGATCAGTCATCAAAACCAAAGGCATCTGTGTATAACACTATGGACCATAAAGGTATGACAGAAAACAGCCATACCCTACAGACATTACACTCGTAAATGTTGCAGTTAATGTTGCTAATTACATTTTCAGTTATGACATAGGCCAGCATTTTTTGTTTTGAATATGCTTTTGACCATCTTCAAACTGCTTTTCAGTGAACGTTGTTTCAAGGTCGCAGTGGGGAGCAGCTGCCCCTCGACAAAAGATGACTTTGAAAGCTTCTGCCCAGAGAGTTGTCATACACCACACTGCCCTCCCAAGGTGCAGTGGCCGGAAAGAGTGCATGGACCGCCTTGTCAGCATTCAGAGAAGGCATATGACACAAAACGGCTTTGATGACATTGGATACAAGTGAGTAGCTCTGTTGCCTTTGTTGCTGAAACAGTCCAGGCAAATGTAACGTTTGAGTAATATTTATATAGTATTGTAAGTACAACTTGGATCTACTGGAGTAAAATTAGTTATGGATTCCTTCTAATGGGTTTCTGCAAGTTTCCAGTGCTACAGGATCGTCGACCATGCTTCCTGTATGTTTCAGTTTTATCGTCGGGGGAGATGGTACAGTGTATGAAGGGCGAGGCTGGGGTGTAGTAGGAGCACATACAAAAGGCAACAACCATGACTCACTGGGGATCGCCTTCATGGGTAATTTTAACAGTAAGTTTACTTATTTACTTTGTGCTTTCTGCCAACAAAAATGTGCATTAAATATCTCTGAACGAGTTTCTATAGGCCTTCAGGATTGTTTTTGTGTAGTCCAGATAACAGATATTCCAGTCCAGACAGTCCAGATATTTTTTGTGCTTAATATGCTTACTGCATATAATGATAATGCTACTTCTTCTGATTTCAGATGACACACCAAGTACAGAGTCAATATCCTCAGTCAAAAAGCTGCTGCGGGCTGGAGTCACTCAGGGCTTTTTACAGCGAGAGTTTGTCCTGTTTGGGCACAGAGATCTGGGAAACACAGAATGTCCAGGAGAAAAACTTTATGCTGCACTACCACAACTAAGGATTGCCCCATAAGGCTCACTACACAATGTGATGGCTTTGCGGGAAAATCCATCCCATACTTCCACATTGTTTGTATCATGAGTCTCTTTTGTTAACTACGGGAAGATCTGTGTTGTAACAAGTCCTGCAGGTTTCACCACCTATCAGATGTTTCTCTTACAGCAGAGGGAGGTATGACATAAGATGAGACCATTAGGTTCTAGCTGTCCGGAAGTGTAAAATGCTTAGTGTAGAAAATGAAAGTCAGTGTACTTCAGTGCATATGTTCAGATAGCTCTTTTTTTATCACTTTTTAATTTGGTTACATTCTATCAATTTAATTTACAGTTACATTTAATCTGTTCCAATGTTATACTAGAGGTCAGTCTTTTGGAAATAAACACCTGTTATCAGCAGTTATTATTTTTATTACTATTTGATTTATGTTTCATTAATGTGATCAATTCTCATTTTGCTTGCTCTCTCCCACAGAGGACAGGTTAAACCAGAGTAGCAGCAATCCCCTCCAAATAGAATGAATTTATATTTATATATATACAGTGGGTACGGAAAGTATTCAGACCCCTTTAAATTTTTCACTCTTTGTTTCATTGCAGCCATTTTCCAAAAATCAAAAAAGTTCATTTTATTTCTCAGTAATGTACACTCAGCACCCCATCTTGACTGAAAAAAACAGAAATGTAGAAATTTTTGCAAATTTATTAAAAAAGAAAAACTGAAATATCACATGGTCATAAGTATTCAGACCCTTTGCTCAGTATTTAGTAGAAGCTCCCTTTTGATCTAATACAGCCATGAGTCGTTTTGGGAAAGATGCAACAAGTTTTTCACATCTGGATTTGGGTATCCTCTGCCATTCCTCCTTGCAGATCCTCTCCAGTTCTGTCAGGTTGGATGGTAAACGTTGGTGGACAGCCATTTTCAGGTCTCTCCAGAGATGCTCAATTGGGTTTGAGTCAGGGCTCTGGCTGGGCCATTCAAGAACAGCCACGGAGTTGTTGAGAAGCCACTCCTTCGTTATTTTAGCGGTGTGCTTAGGGTCATTGTCTTGTTGGAAGGTAAACCTTCGGCCCAGTCTGAGGTCCAGAGCACTCTGGAAAAGGTTTTCGTCCAGGATATCACTGTACTTGGCCGCATTCATCTTTCCCTCGATTGCAACCAGTCGTCCTGTCCCTGCAGCTGAAAAACACCCCACAGCATGATGCTGCCACCACCATGCTTCACTGTTGAGACTGTATTGGACAGGTAATGAGCAGTGCCTGGTTTTCTCCACACATACCACTTAGAATTAAGGCCAAAAAGTTCTATCTTGGTCTCATCAGACCAGAGGATCTTATTTATCACCATCTTCGAGTCCTTCAGGTATTTTTTAGCAAACTCCATGCGGGCTTTCATGTGTCTTGCACTGAGGAGAGGCTTCCGTCGGGCCACTCTGCCATAAAGCCCCGACTGGTGGATTGCTGCAGTGATGGTTGACTTACTACAACTTTCTACCATCTCCCAACTGCATCTCTGGAGCTCAGCCACAGTGACCTTTGGGTTCTTCTTTACCTCTCTCACCAAGGCTCTTCTCCCCCGATAGCTCAGTTTGGCCGGACGGCCAGCTCTAGGAAGGGTTCTGGTCGCCCCAAACGTCTTCCATTTGAGGATTATGGAGGCCACTGTGCTCTTAGGAACCTTAAGTGCAGCAGAAATTTTTTTGTAACCTTGGCCAGATCTGTGCCTTGCCACAATTCTGTCTCTGAGCTCTTCAGGCAGTTCCTTTGACCTCATGATTCTCATTTGCTCTGACATGCACTGTGAGCTGTAAGGTCTTATATAGACAGGTGTGTGGCTTTCCTAATCAAGTCCAATCAGTATAATCAAACACAGCTGGACTCAAATGAAGGTGTAGAACCATCTCAAGGATGATCAGAAGAAATAGACAGCACCTGAGTTAAATATGAGTGTCACGGCAAAGGGTCTGAATACTTATGACCATGTGATATTTCAGTTTTTCTTTTTTAATAAATTTGCAAAAATTTCTACATTTCTGTTTTTTTCTGTCAAGATGGGGTGCTGAGTGTACATTACTGAGAAATAAAATGAACTTTTTTGATTTTTGGAAAATGGCTGCAATGAAACAAAGAGTGAAAAATTTAAAGGGGTCTGAATACTTTCCGTACCCACTGTATATATAGGCCAATAAAGTGTTTTAGCAACAGCCGTGTTCATATGCAAACGTCTTCAGGGTGCTGCTGCAATATCACTGTAAACAGCACAATACATGAAATCAAATATTTAACAGAGAAAAAGATCCAAGGGGATTACAAGTGTTGAGACAACAATGCATGCTTTCTGCAGCGCTTGAGACATTCCCAACAAGTGCTCACTTGTGCAGCGCAGGGATTATGGAGGGAAGCCCCTATCAAATTGACTAAGGTATAATGGTAACAGATTTTGTGTGGTTCTGGTCGTCATGTCTGATGTCTGGCATATGAACTGTAAAACACCCAGCATAACAGTTGATTTCATTAACTGAACATTGTTACAGTAATGGTAAAGTAACCTACAGTTGAATTGCAGCTGGTCAAACGATAGGTAAAGCATGGCCTCAGTCTGTGGTCCAGGCATGCAGACACATCAGCCAGTATCAAACAAAATTGTGTACCCATACATTTTTACTTGTTTCTTATTTAAATCAACCATTGTCTTAAGAATTGTCTTTAATTAGTAATTGTCTTGAGAGTAGTGAAGGTATGTGTAAGCCATAGGTACATGTCACTGTAGTGGCCAATCATCAGGTACTGACAAGTATGGAAGGTAAAAGATAATTTTGATGTAAGAAAGTATCTTTTTTACTTAATTCATTTTTGTTATTGCATTACCTGTTTTGTATTTAAACTCATCACACTGAAATTGTGTCTCAATAGATATATTTCATGCAAGTTGTTAGTGCTAATGTTTTAGCTCTAAGCTATAAGAGCTATAATGCCAGACATCAGCTAGTTCGTGTCTACAAAAGTTTGGGTTATTTGGAAATTAAAATGTTACAACCTACACCAAAAAAATTTATTTATATGTTTCATTTGAATTTCAGCATGTGATTGACACACGCACAGTAATGTTTAATTGTTTTATTTATATGTTCAAATGTTAATGTAACCCTGTAGCCTTCTCTGTGGGCCCATGGGGCCTGCATGCTAAGGAGTGCCATATGTCTGTTACCACTCTGACAGTGCAAGGCATTCAAGCACCAACACTTATGGTGCTTTCAGACCAACCTCGAATTTTCGCCTCACGACGAGTACTATATTCGCTGCAAGTGTTCACACACAACGCGAGAAGGCGATTTTAACGTGAATAAACACAACTACTACAACTGTATGAACCCAGAGTAAACATTTTGTATAGCAATAAACGGATTAAACTGATGCTGAAATAACTACAACATGATTAAACATATGAATTCATGCTTTGTCAGGTCTGTTAGCAAGACAGCAGGACAAAAACTTCTAAACTGTTTGTTTTCTGAATGGACTTTGGATCGATCAGGGCTATGCTATGGTAACTTGGTCACAGTGAAGTTGCTAGGGTCGTTAGCTCTGTTGTGACATATTTATATAAAAACCGGACAAAACTGGACATTACTTGGAGAAAATAAAGCGAGAAGGTTGAACTACCTGGTGAGTTGAGAAAACATGTCTGTAACTTTATTCCAGCTATCATTGTACTTTACTGTGACCCATAGCCCTGATCGATCCAAACTCCATTCAGAAAACAAACATTTTAGAAGTTGTTGACCAGTTGACCTGACAAAGCATGAATTTATATGTTTAACAAATCTGCATCATGTTGTAGTTGTTTCGGCATAAGTTTAATCCGTTTATTGCAATTTAATGACAGCAAAATGTTTACTTTGGGTTCATACAGTTGTAGTACAGGCGAGTTGTGTTTATTCACGTTATCCCGTTAAAATCGCCTTCTTGCATTGTGTGTGAACACTTGCAGCCAATGTACTCATGCGAGTAAAGTTGCGAGGCGAAAATTTGCGGTTGGTCTGAAAGCACCATTACACTAATATTCAGTTAGTGCCCATTATCTTTAAGACTGACAATAACTTAGATAGCCTACTTGAATCACCACCCCTACACACAGACACACATGCAGGAATGCACAGACTCAGTTATGTTAAAAAAATAATTAAATGTTGTAACTTTTTACTTTGAGCCTAAACCATGCATTTTATGTCTGTGTTGCTGAGATAACAGTTAGACTTTCTAATTACAGATACTTGCAACTAGTTTGCAGCACATTTTGAAGGCACTGGCTTAAAATAGCTCAGAGATACAGACGGAAAAAAAAAAATGTTACAACCATCCCCGGTCTCCCCTATTTATTTTAAGTCACATAGAGTCAGGAAAGGTTGTTTGGCTGCTGTTTTAAGAGCCTACCATCTTAACAGGAAAAAGAAACCGGTGAGCTTTTGTCAATTGTGAAATTTATTTAGGAATGTGAGCATGATATTGGCAGCAGCTGTGCTTACATGATGATCATTTTTAGGCTATATATTTTTGTCTGATCAGTAATGCATTTTCATTTCCAAATAAGATGTGCTTCTAGGTGCATTTCCCTTCTTTTAGAGTTAATAGGCTATATGAGCCCTATTTGCTCGAATGTTTTGCAAAGTATCTGTCGCTGCGTTTGTTTATCGACAAGAGCATTCAGGCTTCTATTCTTTCTTTTGATCGGAATTTTGCCAAATGATGATCAAAGGTGTTTAGCGATAAAAGGAGAGGAAATATGAGGCCAACCCAGAGGGCAAGGCGCGTGTGAGAGGGTTGAGTTTCACGAGTCACGGAAGTATTAATTGAAGCCAAGAGTTCACCGATCAGTCAAGTAAAGCACTACTTTTCGTAGGCAGCGAGTCCTGAGCTTCTGAGATCATGCGCGTTTGTTGTCACGCTGTCTGGCCAGTGCGTCTTTGGCTCCGCACCTCTTTCAATCAGCGCATCTTTGCTCTCTGGGAGCAGTTAGCCTACGCTCTCTGCTCCGATCACCGGGGCAGCTTCGAGGATTTTAGTTGTAACTTCGACCTTTAAGATGGAGGATTTGAAAACTTCGGACCGTTTTTTCCACAAGTCCTCATTCAGCATCAGCAGCCTGTTGTGGAGACGAGAGGGAGTGATAGGTAACCCGGAGGCTCCTTCTCCGTCCCAGAAGCTGCGCTCCGCACATCCAGAGATATCTAGTCAAGAAGAAAACTTTGTCAATGAAAAGAACTGCGAACACCCAAAACAGTGCACTAAAGCAGAAACCAAACCGGTGACTGCAAGTGGAAAACGAGAAGGAAATAAGGGAGACTCAAAGAAAAGCGGGGGAGCAGAAGAGAGTATTAAACCTGAGAAACCTCCTTTCAGTTATAACGCGCTCATCATGATGGCGATCCGCCAGAGCCCAGAACGACGTCTCACACTCAACGGAATCTATGAGTTTATAATGAACAACTTTCCATACTACCGACAGAACAGACAAGGTTGGCAAAATTCAATCAGGCACAACTTGAGTCTGAACAAGTGTTTCGTTAAAGTGCCGCGCCACTATGATGACCCGGGTAAAGGCAACTACTGGATGCTGGACCCCTGCAGTGAGGATGTGTTTATAGGTGGCACATCAGGGAAACTCCGGCGCAGGGCCACAGCTGGCTCCAGGACCAAGCTTGCACTAAAAAAGGGAGGAGGTCGTCTGATGTCCTCCAGCAGGGCAACCAGTGTCACCTTGGCCGCAGCGGGTCCATTTTACTGGCCGGTTCCGCCGTTTCTGCCTCTCCAGTCACCAGTGCGCACCCACCTTGGCGCAGGGACTTATCTGAGTGCTCACCACCGCTTCCCCAACCACGCCACATCGCTTGTTTCACAGCGGTCCCGGCTGAGTGCAACAAGTTCTGCAGACGCCGACCGGTTCGTGCAGACGCACCAGGAGATGTCTTACATTGGAGTCAGCTGCGCGCAATCCCGTCACCATCAGATTGGCGCTGCCTGCACCGCTTTCTCCACATCCATCCCCGCATGCACCCTGCCGCTGTCTGACCCGTGCTCTTTTAACATGATCTCTGGACAAGCCAGCTACTTTTACTCTCACCAAATACCATGTACCGCAACGTTTACTCCACGTCAAGAGGAGTGCGCCCCGTCTAAGACGTCTCCGGGACAATTCTTATCCAAGACCGTTCACTCAGACCTTGGGGGATGTTGTAATGACATTCCAAATTATTGCCCTCAAGCCAGTTCAAGCCCTCCTACTTCTTGGAATATAGATAAATAGGGTAACAGTCATAGTAGGCCTACCCAATATCTAAGCTTTAAAATATTCCTGTTTAATTTAGACGTAGATGTAAAAAGCCAGAGCGTCCTAACGAGAACCCGCAAAACTGGAATTTCTTGAGTTTATTAAAGCCTGGTCAATTAAAACTACCCGCAATATTGTCCTACCTATATTTCTTTGTGTTACAGCGAAGTAGGTCTATATCTAAATTGAAATGGAAAACGTTTTGCAGTAGAGTTGTGTCATTTAATAATTTCCAAAAAAGAAAAACTGCTGATGAATAAACAACATGCAGTGTCTCACATACATTCAAATTTAAGCAAACGGGTTTTTTTTCACCATATCCAAAAATATGCAAAAATATATGCACGAGTTAACCTATTTTAAAACACGTCAGTGTATCAGAGACGTAGCCTACGTTGTTTTAAATTGATATAGCTACCTGGTCTGCATCTGTTAACTGAAACTATATTCCTGTTTTAGAAACGGTCTCCACTTATTGAACTTCTATGAATTATTTCAGTATAGAAACCGAAGTGATGTTTGCGCGCATGTCGCTGTTTTGGGCCTGATGCCATCATCTGAAATGATCCTACTGCAAAATGACTAAGAATGAAATAAATGAAAATGAAAATATGAATCTCTCTTAAGTTATTCGTTTGCCTGCATGTTGACCATAACCTTTTAACGCTATGTAGCCTAGTTGAAGTTGTGATATGATAAGAGTAGGCTTATAGGCGAGAAGAACACGTTCAACTAACTTAATTTTAAAATGTAATGAAATAATTTTTGGTCCAAGGAGGTGAAATCGTTTTGAAGTATAGAAACATGTAAGCCAATATGGAAGGAAAAAAAAACATAAACGATAATTAAACTGCTCTTTTGCTGCATTTATTGTCTTCTACTTAGTTAATGTTGCAACTAAATAATATTACATTAGACTATTTTAATTAGCCTACATGTAATTAAACGATGAATAATACATTTTTAATTGTGTTTTCTTTCACTTCATTAAAACTGTTGTTGATTGTTCTTATTTGGCTGTGTTATTATTAGGCTAAATGTTTCACTCGGGAGGTTTGAGCCCACACAACAACGAATAGGCTATAGACTGATTTGACAATTTAAAGAAGCCTAAAATTTGAGAGGCCTCTTTATGGGCATGCAGTAATCTACTTTTTCCCCTCCCACTTAAGATCAACAGTTCAAATGTGCACCTGAAGCTTTATTGAAGAGACATCATGTTGAAACAGCGCGCAGACTGTAACTTCAGTAGGTAGACATTTCCAGTCCCGCTGATCTTATTGATCTGTCTTGTGTTTCACCCGGCACTGACATCACTGCCTGTTAAACTTTCCCTCACCTCTCCCAGTCTTTCCCCCTAAGATAGGCTATAAATTCATAAAATAAAAAAATAAATAAAAAGATGCACGAGGATACTGATTGGAGCCGCTTTCTGGACGGCTGCCTCCTTCAGACAAAAGACTCTTTATACCAAAAGACCCTAGCCCGTCACCTTCCCAAGCCCAGTCACATTCACAGTCGCCTGTGGTTAAAGCAGACTGGGACTGGATCGGGTAACTTCACTGTTGGCAAACTCACGGTCTACATAGATACAAAGATAGTAATATTTTCATTACTGGCGTGCGTAATTGTGGTCGCAGCAAAGCGCACCGGGGCAGGGCTGTGAATCAACAGGTGAGTTTTATCGCCAGAGGCAGGAGCAAAAAGATACTGTTTGCTGTTAAATAACCAGCTCTACTAATGATAACCACAAAGCTGTAAATCACCCTGCAATATCCATGCTGATCATGTGCTAAAAGTTCCATCCATCCATCCATTGTCACCCGCTTATCCTGTGTACAGGGTCGCTGGGGGCTAAAAGTTGCGTATTTTAAATAATAAGGTGGTTTTTGCTCAACAGAGTTCCTAGTGTCTGATGGAATTGTGCCACCAAGATCAATATAAAGTAAAACAGACTATACTTAAATCATTTAAGGGACTGTACAAAAATTAGATGGGAAGGGAGTTACAAAAGGTGGAGAGACTTTTTATTGTGGAAAGGAGGTAGTGTAATGTTTTTAGGGTAGCAGTGGATGGTTTTTAATTTTTATAATCACAAATGTATATTTTATTTCAATCTAACCTTGTTTTTTTATTGTAACAACCAATACAAATAAAAAAACACATACACATGTGCCATGTGCAGGTTGTCTCTATATGAATTTATTTTACCCATCAAAATCAGACATTATGACCGATATGTCACTTCTGTGAATCAGAATAGATGTGGATCATCATAGTTATTAGTAACTGATTGTTTTCTCTCCACAGAGCCATGTCTACAGCAGCTGCCACCTTCACTATTTTGCACCATAAACAACAGCAGAACAGTAATATGTGTCAAAGTGCACTTGAAATATATTAAGTTCTACATCACACATTTAAAACATGTTCCTCTCCAGCGGGGAAAGCATTTCTTTTTTATTAAAAGAGAAATTTAACATTCAGTCACCCTCTGCATCATTTCCACACAGTCCCTAAATAAAGCAATGCTTTGGGCCATAACCAAATGTTATCGTACACATTATTAAGTTGTTTCAGAGTAATAGAAGTATTTTCTTCTTGCCTATCTGCACTGGTTGTAGCTTAATCTCTGCTCTCTTAATTGGGTTACAGCAAAAGTGTTTTCATTTCGCAGCAGTCCCATCACATGTAGGCTAATGATACACTGAGCTCATTTTACAGTCCCACTGCTCAACAGTTTAAGATGCAAGTCTTTTGGCTGAGGTAGGTGTGCTTCATAAAGATATAATGCAGCTCTGGAAATCAATCCTACACACTCGCCTCTCTCAACAGCACACAGGCTGCTATTATCCACAGCAAGTGGCTTCCACAGGTAGATCTGCCACCCTTTGAAATAAGGTGGGTGGGTTGTACACCCCCGGCGTCTGTCTGTCTCTTGCCAGAAAGCCAATCTCTCAGTGTCTTATTGCTGCTGTGTAGATAATAGCCTACATCCCTGTCTCTCACTCTCTCACACACACACTTTCCCCTCGTTCTTGTAGTGTTAAAGAACAAACAAAGACTTATCTGTTTGGGTCTGCGGTATCACTTTGGCTTCTCCCTCTCTTTTCCTGTGACAATTTCTTTAACAGACAGTGGATATGTTTTTTAAATGAGAAATCAACTTCTTCTCTTCCTCTCTGGTCTCATACCACCAGCATGTAGTGGAAGAATGGATTTTCAGATACTTTTAAGTGAAAATAGCGGTACTTTTAAACTGTACACTGTAAAACTGCTCCAGAAAGATTTCTGCATTTTCAATACTGAGTTCATTCTCTAATTGCTATCAGCTATATGTGCTTACAGAATCAAAAGTAAACACATTATACTGTAGAATATAGCTAGCTTATATATATATATTGTATTTTATATGCCCACAACTATATTTGTCAAATGATTGTAGTGGAGTAAAAATATCTACAATATACCTTTGAGATGTAATGGAGAATATAACATGTAGGAACTTGAGTACAAGCAAATGTTTCTAAAAATTATACTTTACTAATTTACCAGTGATGGAATGTAACTAAATACATTTATTCAATTACTGCTCTTAGGTAGGCTACTTAAGTGCAGTAATTGAGTAAATTATAGGCTACCATTGTTTGTACTTTTTGCTCCACTACATTTATTTGACATCTTTAGATATGTATTGCTTTGCAAATTCAGATTATTACTACAAAATATATATCAATTAATACATGATGATATATTATTATAGATTAGGCTACACATAAGTACCATATAAAATGGCCTAGTTAAAATTAGCTCCAGCTGCAACATTAGTAATGCTTACACATCAATAATCATAATCCAATAATATCATAGTGCATATCAAAAGTCTACACACCCCTGTTAAAATGCCAGGTTGTTGTGATGTAAAATAATGAGACAAAGATAAATCATGTCAGAACTTTTTCTACCTTTAATGAGAACAATTCAATTGAAAAACAAATTGAAATCCTCGAGGGGGGTAGACTTCTCATATCTACTGCAGGAGGAAGGAGGTAGGTTTATTTGTTACATTACAACAGGTTGTAAAGTGCAATTAAGTTTTAAACTCCCTTCTGCTACGTAGCAGACAATAGTAGATCTAAATAAAGTATATTCAATGAAGCAGATGAATTTGAATTTAAAAGTCTCATAGCTTGGGGGGGCTGCTCTGCAGTCTGGTGGTGCGACAGAAGATTCTTCTATATCTCTTCCCAGGGTGAAAAGGCTGTGGCAAGGGTGGGTGCTGTGCTTTAATATCAAATGCATGGCTGGTTTGATGTAACACTTTCAGGACGGTGTAGTAGTAACCCGGTAGTTGTTACAAAATGTTGAAGCGCGTATTCGTTGACCCGGAAGTAGGTCGATGCACGCGAGTCTGGTAGAAACGTTGCAGTCGCAGACACGAAGGAAACGTTACCTGGTGGAGACGAGACGAGCGGGATACGATCTGAGATAACCGTCTTTATAAATCAGCAACCATGTAAGTATCTATGATGATTAAACAGTCTTTAGAAGGATGGTCATTTTCGGTCTCAGAGCCTGAGCTCTGAATCGGAGCAAATAATAGCTAAAGGCTGTAATGCTAAGCTAATTAGGCCAGCATTTTATGAGAGTCTGCAACCAAGGCCGGTTAGCTAGAATATATAAACATTTTCAGGTCTAGCTATGTTATAACTACGTTACTCTTACAGTATACAATTAAAATTCCTGATTCATTCATGTTTAAACTGTTTTGGTTTAAAACTGAAAAGCTACGAGTCTGAAGGCACACAAAAGCTTTGTACTACGCTAGTTAGCCAAATGCTAACATCAAGAAAAGTTTTGAGCATGCGCTTTCTTGCTTGTGTTCAGTTACCTTGAAACAGCTTGTAATAAATAACGTTATTCGGTTGGGATAATCTAGCTTTCAGTCTTTGCCAAAAGGTTAAGTTAATTGTCTTGCATCGTCTTGCATGAGAGCTATATCCGTATTAGCAGAAATGAAAGGGAAAAATGAAGTGTAAAAGCTCTATCCACCTCCTGAAAGTTACATTTGTGTTAGTGGAAAAGTTTCCATGGTGGGTGTGTGTGTGTGTTTTCGGGCATATATTTGTTAATGCTCTGATAATAATAAATGTGTGAACCGAACTGTAACGTTAAACTTAACGGTTTTCTTCTGATATTTACTGTGGTTATATTAATATATTACTGAGTACAAGTGAAGTGAATCAGTTTACTTTAGTAATGTCTACACTGTGGTGTTTTATTTTGGTCCAAGTCTGTAAGCTGTGGAAACACATTCTTTGTTATCTAAATGTGATGTTAACTTTTGTTTTGTTCTGTTGATGGTTAATGAACTCCAACAAAATGGCACAGTGAAAAACATGTATAGAGAAGAGTATACAACAAAAAGCAATACAACCCAACCTCTGGGACAGTAATAAAGAATGAAAACAACACTGTTACTTTATTAAGCAAAAATACATCGTAATGATTCATTCAAACAACAAAGAACTGGTTAATTTTTAGATTTGAATTTTAATGATTTTAATGTAAATCTTTTATTTGATTTTCCCATGAAACAGAAAACGGATTGCTATTTGCTTTTGCATATTTAAAAACAATGACAGGGAGGGAGTTGTTGCAGATATTGATTGGCGTTTACAGTGGGTACTATATTCCCTGTTGGTCTGTGAGACTGTGTTTGGTCCAAACAGGCCAGTGGCTGGCCAATCAACTTGCCCGGCATACTTTTTTTTTCTGGCCCTGGGCCATCAGGCCATTGCTTATGTCGAACCCTGTATAGTCCTGCCACACTAATGCCATTCTGATAATACATACATAATTATTTATTGTCAACATCTTAATTGGTATTGTTTTGCATGTTTTTCAGGAGTCTATTAACAAAACCCAAGT